CACACTTAAATCCAGATTCGTCCTCACCGAGTCCCACCACCAAGGGAGCGCCAGCAAGGAGATGCACATATGGGGATCCCCACGCAGTGAATAATTTCCTCAGCACGGTGCTGTTCCTCGCCGCCGACAGGCCCCGTCCCGACAAAACCACGGCTCCCGCTCGAGGCTTCCTCCCTTCTTACTCAAGGTGGTGTTCCCCCTCGCCGCCGAAAGCTGCCGTCCCAACATCACCAGCATTCCCGCTGGAGACTTCGTTTTGTTTTACGCTGGACTAGCGCCCTACTCTCGTCAGCATTGGCGCCGCTCCCAGCAACAACAGCGGCCCTGCTCGAGACTTCTTCCCTTTCTATTCAGGGCCAGGTCCTTGCCTCGCCGCCGACAGCCGCCATCCCCACCAAGGCAATCCTGTTGCTCGATACTTCCTTGTGCTTTTCCCTTGACTGGGGCTCCTCTGGCGGTCTCGCATCGGCGCAGCAAGGCGCGGGCATGTGTTTTCGAGGTGGGATAGGTTGACATTCCTCGGAGATGTTTGCAAGACCTCATTGGGCGGGAGATCTGGGATTAACGGATCCCGCTGTAGAACAAGAGTCCCCCATGATGGGGATGGTTATCCTGGTGGTCGCATGCTTCGTGACGCTGGACTAGCGCCCTACTCTCGTCAGCATTGGCGCCGCTCCCAGCAACAACAGCGGCCCTGCTCGAGACTTCTTCCCTTTCTATTCAGGGCCAGGTCCTTGCCTCGCCGCCGACAGCCGCCATCCCCACCAAGGCAATCCTGTTGCTCGATACTTCCTTGTGCTTTTCCCTTGACTGGGGCTCCTCTGGCGGTCTCGCATCGGCGCAGCAAGGCGCGGGCATGTGTTTTCGAGGTGGGATAGGTTGACATTCCTCGGAGATGTTTGCAAGACCTCATTGGGCGGGAGATCTGGGAATAACGGATCCCGCTGTAGAACAAGAGTCCCCCATGATGGGGATGGTTATCCTGGTGGTCGCATGCTTCGTGTGGAAGCCTGGCACATGAGGGTAAACTGATTGTTGTTGCCGTTGTTGTTATTATTAGTGTTGTTTTTATTAATACTATTCTTACTATCACTATTGAGTTATAATTTCTAAAGGCTACAAGATAAGTACTGTTGATTCCCCTGCGGGGCACATTGTGCTGATTCAATTGAATGCCCTTTCTGGGGCTCGCAGCCTGCTTTTTATCAGTGGAAGTTTTGAGTCTCAGAATTGGGTTGTTGGCCCCCAGTTTACAACAACAGCGGCTCCCGCGTGATACTTCCTCACAATATATTCCTGAATCGCGCTCTCGCGCGCGACCTTTTGGTATGCAGAAATCGTGCTCTCGCGTTGGATGTCCTCGCAATTTATTCAGGCGTCGCGCCTCCAACCATTAGGAATCACGCTGTCGCTCGGGCCTTTCTCATGATTTACTTTGGAATCGCGGTATCGCTCGAGACCTCCTCGCGATTCATGCTCGCGCTTCGGCACCACGCATGCTCGACCTGGCCGCCTGGGCCCGCCTTCCCGACCTTCTCGTTAGGGTCTATCCGCCCGATCTGCCCGTCTGGTTCTGCCACGTGTTTTCTTCTCCTAGCCCCCCTCCTCCTAATCTGTGTCGAGCTCCATTCTCCTCCCTCCCTCTTCCATCCGTCCTTTCTTCCCCTGTTTGAGGGGCTGCGCCAACTACACGCGGCAGGTAGGGAAGATATACCCCCAAGGGGGATACGGTCGAAGACGAATAGGGCGGGTACCGAGGGATTTGGGATATACGTGTTGAATGGTTTGCGAGCAGGTCAAAGCGAGCAGTCTTAGAATGATGTTTGTTGTTGTTGTTGGTGCTGGTGTTGGTGTTGGTGATGGTGTTGGTGTTGGTGTTGGGGCTGTTGCTGTTATCTTTTATGTTACATGCATTTTTATTCAGTTTTTTCTTGTTGTTATTATTATTGGTATTATCATTATTAGTACGATGAATAACAGTATTCTTTTGATTTTGTCTATTCTTATTATCATTATTACTATTATTATTATTATTCTTATTATTATGATTATTATTATTATTATTATGATTTCTTCATATTAGTATCACTATTAATATTATTGTTATTTGTATTTTTCAGTATTACTAAAGGGTCTCACTTGTTTTTAATTGTTATTATTATTACTATCATATCATTGTTGTCATTTTTATTATGAGTATTCGTATTCTTGTTGTTGCTGCTGTTGTTGTTGTTGTTGTTGTTGTGGTTGTGGTTGTGGTTGTGGTCGTGGTTGTGGTTGTGGTTGTTGTTGTTGTTGTTGTTGTTGTTGTTGTTGTTGACTTTTCTTTTCCAGGGAACCGCGATTGTCGGCTCAAGCTATTGGCAGCCGTGGCGCCCCTCGGAACCGCTGCCAGGAGGCGGCTGGGCATGGGGCCGCCATGGTCACTCGCCGACACGGCGACCTGGCGGCGACGCCTGGAGCGATCGCCCGGAAGGTCACAGGCAGGCGCAGGAGCAGGATGGAGGTCATCGAGGCGTGCTACCGTGACCCAGCGCCGACGCCGCGATGGCGCAGCGACAGCCACGCGTGCAGGGCGGAGGAGTCGCGCTCGCTGTCGCGCCGCTCGCCAGGCCCAGCGAGGAAGAGGCGCGACGATATTCCGCAGACGACTCCTTGCTCCGAGCTGCCGCCAGAGGTGCCGGACGAGTCAGAGGCCCCTCCCGCCGCGGAGGCGGTGCCCGACGAGGCGCCCCGCGAGCCGCCCGGCGGCGATGGCAGCGCCCTCGCGGGCGGGCTCGGAGGGGAGGCCGACGCCCCGGCCAGCGAGGAGGCCGCCCCCGCGGACGCGAGCTCCGCCGGGGACGCCGCCGCTGGGCCGGCGCCCGCGGAGGCCGACGAGGGCGCCGCGGCCGGGCAGGCTGCCAACGACCGGGCCTCTGCCGGGATTGCCCTCGCCGCTCCCGCCTGCTCGCGCGAGAACGTTGCCACGCTCGAGCCCGAGCTCGCCGACGCCAGGGCCCAGGCGGCCAGGGCGCCGACGGTGCCAGCCGCGGTGTGGCGAGATCCCGCGCGGCAGCGCTGCCAGCAGCGGCCTGGCCTGAGGGGCCGCCGGCTGCGCCGCGTGTCGCACGGCGCCCTGCTGCACGCGCAGCACGTCCGCCAGGGCCTCGTGCCGAAGGCGCCGGCGCCCACTGTGGCCTGGGTGCTCGTGCCCACGTCTGCCCTGCTGCCAGTGGAGCCGCCGGGCGGGCAGCCTCTGGTGCCCCCCGCGGCTCCGCAGGGCAAGCCCTCCGCGCAGCCGCGCGGGAGGCCCACGCGCGTCCGGCCGCGAGCCGCTGGGCCGCCGCGAGATGGCCCTACAGGCCCACGAAGCCCCTGGCGCGCGCCCGCAGAGAGCCCACGGCGTCTGCCAGGCGCCGCCGCCGCCCTCGCCGCCGCCCCCTCGCCGCGCCCTCGCCCACTGCCCGTCACGGGGGCGGCCGCGTCGCCGTCGGTGCCGCCAGAAGTGGAGCTCCAGGAGTCAGCAGCCCCAGCCACCGCCGGCGCGGATGCCAGCCCTGTCACCACCGTGGTTGCCGGCGGCGCCCCCTCAGGCGCAGGGCCGGTTGCGCCGACGCCGGCACAGCCCCGGCCTGGATCCAGGATCGAGGATCCAGGATCGAGGATTGGAGGATCGAGGATTGGAGGATCGAGGATCGAGGATCGAGGCTCGAGGATCGATCGAGGATCGAGGATCCATCGAGGATCGAGGATCGAGGATCCATCGAGGATCGAGGATCGAGGATCGAGGATCGAGGCTCGGGTCGGCAGTCCCTGCCGCCAGCAGGGCCGCCAGCCCTGCCTCCAGCGCGGCCGCCGGCGGCCTCGGCGGCGAGGCCGGCCAGGACCGCCCAGGCCCCGCCCCGCCGCCCCGCCGGCGGCGCACGCCAAAGCCCACGACGCCGCGGCGGCGCGCGGCCCCCGCGGGCCGCCGCAGCCCCTCTCCGCCGCCCCGTCAGCAGCGCGCGCCGGGCCCCCGCGGCGCCGCCGCGGCGGGCGTGGGGCCCCCGCGGCGGAGCGTCGGCGGGGCGGCGCGGCGGAGCGGCGCCGGGCCGCTCTGGCGGCGCACGTGGGACCCGAGGCAGCTGGACGTCGCGAAGGATAGGCCTCCCTCCTTCCTCCCTCCTCCCCCTCCCTCCTCCCTCCTCCCTCCTCCTCCTCCTCCCTCCTCCCCTCCTCCTCCTCCTCCTCCTCCTCCTATCCTCCTCCTCCTCCTCCTCCTCCTCCTCCTCCTCCTCCTCCTCCTCCTCCTACTCCTCCTCCTCCTCCTCCTCCTCCTCCTCTCCTCCTCCTCCTCCTCCTCCTCCTCCTCCTCCTCCTCCCCCTCCTCCTCCTCCTCCTCCTCCTCCTCCTCCTCCTCCTCCTCCTCCTCCTCCTGGGGAACGAGCAACGACACAGACATCAAAACTCGGAGGTCCGCGCGGAGTCCTCGCATCGGCGATGCGCCGCCCCTGGCGCGCTGCGCGCGCCGGGGGAAGGGGGTCCACCGCCGATCCGAGGAATCCGCGCGGACCTGCGAGTTTTTGTGTTTTTATGTCGTTGTTTGTTTCCCTGAAGGATGCCGGCCCGGGCGTCGCGGAGGTGGAGAGCAAGACCTCCGCATTCGGGCTCGCCCGGGAGCGCGTGCGCGACCTGCAGGCCAAGGAGTTGGCCGAGCGCGCCGACCTATGGCCGCAGATTTTCAGTAGCCTGCACCACGACCTCCAGGTGCACCACGGCGACCTGCCCCAGGCGGTGGAACTCAGTGGCATGGCCGTACCAGACCCCAAGCTCATTGACGAGGTCTGCCGCTGCGTGACGGGCGATCCCGCTCTGGGCCAGGATGAGTTCAACACCTTCATGCACACGTACATCATGAGGCAGAACGAGGCTTTCACGGACGCTTTCGAGAGGCGCTTGGACGAGGACGCGCTGGACTTGGAGGTGGACCTCTCGGTGCTGCCTCAGCTGGTCAAGGACCTGGGCCTGCTACCAATGAGGCACGTGCTGGCGGAGGCGATCCGCGAGGTCACCCAGAGCCGCGAGGATAGACCGCGGGACCGCGAGAACGCCATCGGCGTCCACGACTTCCTGAAGGTGGCCCGGCTGTTGCTCCTCCGCGAAGGCTTCACGAAACAGGAGCACGACGCGCTGCAGAGGATGCACGCACGATTCGACCGCGACGGCTCTGGAGACATGTCCACCAAAGAGCTGCGCGAGGTCCTGCTGCGGCTCGGCTACGCCATCGACCAGCGACGAGTCGATGAGCTGCTGAGCTCGGCCGACATGGACTTCAGTGGGTCGCTCAACAAGAGGGAGTTCATTCTCTGCATGCGCTGGGTCCGGGAGCGCGAGGTGAAGATCATCGGGGACTTCATCCGCATGAGTAACCCTGGCCAGTCCTGCCTCACGAACCCCGTTGAGCTGGAGGGCGTTCTGAAGTCTCTGGGCTACGCTCCCATGCCAGGGGCGGTGGGCGACGCCGCCAGAGATACGGGCGTGGCCGAGGGCTCGGAATTGAGCATGGACGACGTCCTGCGCATACTGGAGGTGTTCCGCTCGCGCGCCGGCTTCGGCGCGGACGAGGCCGAGGAGATCCGGAGTTGCTTCGCCCGGCGAGCTGGGGACCTCGACGGCGAAGTGAGCGGAGCACAGGCCGTCTGCGCCATCCGGTCCCTGGGCTACTGCGTGCCCTTCCAGGAGGCGCAGCTCGCCATCCGCAGGGTGGATTTGAACGGTAACTCCATGTTGGATTTTCGGGAGTTCCAGATGGTCCTGCAGATTTGGACACCCGAAATGGGTACGGAAAGAATGGGCACTATGCCCAACAACAAATGTTGTCCCAAGCCAACAGCGGCCGCTGTTGGGCAGGCGGCCTTCTGTCTCGAATGGACACAGGCCGCGGCGGCGTGGACAGCGAATCCTGTTGAAAATGAAAAGGAATTGTTGTTGGACATTGTGCCCATTCTTTCAGTACCCATTTCGGGCGTCCAAAGCAGAGTTTCCGCGAGAGGGACAGTCGACGTGCGAGGGCCGAGTTTACCAGAGCCGCCCTGCCTGGGCGGCCCGGGCTCTGCCGTCAACACGTCGCGGAGGCGTTGGGGCGGGTCTGCGGGGAAGACATGGACGAGGCAACTTGCCAGCAGGTGGTGAGCGCCGTGGTGATCGTGCCCGGCTCGGGCGACGCAAGGGAGAGGCCCTTCAAGGACGGCAGGGAGGAGCCTTACGTCGACCTGGACGGCTTCATGCAGGCCGCCCTGGGGCTGCTTTCCGTCACGAGGCTGGCGGCCGCCGCCCGCGAGGGCTTTAGCTGCGCCAGCCACGCAGAGCTCAGGCATCTCTTCGGCAAGCACGGCAAAAGCGCCGGCAAGCTGACGCCCGCCGAGCTGACCTTGCTTGTGCAGGAGTCCTTCAGCGACGCTGTCGACCATGAGGGCCTGGGGCCAGCCGTGCGCCAGGCCGTGTCCCAGGCAAGCTCGGCAGAGACAGATTGGCCAGGTTGGCTGAACTTCAACGAGTTCGTGGCGCTGGTGCGGAGGATCCAGGACATCGAGGACACGGACCGCGTGGACAGGGAGCGCGCCGCCATCGAGGCCACGGGCTTCGAGCCCGCCCAGGTTGACGAGTTCCGCGAGCTCTTCATTAAGAACGACGTGGACGGGGTGGGAGAGATACCGGAGCGACGGGTGCAGCGGCTGCTGGCGAGCATCGAGGCCGCGGCGAGCGTGCCGCTGGAGAGGCTGAGGGCCGCGGCGCGCCGCCGGGCGGACCGCGGGCCCTCGGACAGGAGCAGGCGCGGGAGCTGCGAGGCCCTCGACTTTCCCGAGTTCCTGTGCCTCATGAAGGAGGTCTCGGCATCGCTTGGACGCGTGCACTTTTTCTTTCGGCGAGAACCCTCGAGGACCATCCTGGAGCATCGAGCAACATAAAGCACGCGCGAAACCGAAAAGTGCACGGGAAGTGGATGTCCGAGCGACAGGGGGAGGGGAGGGGGAGGGGGAGAGGGGAGGGGGAGGGGGAGGGGGGGGAGGGAGAGGGAGGGAGGGAGGGAGAGAGGGAGGGAGGGAGGGAGGGAGGGGGCAAGAGGTGCTGGGCCTCGCCGAGGCGGGCGCGCTGCACGCCGCGGCGCAGGACCGCAGGGGCGCCCTGCGCCCGGGCGACGGGCGCGGGCCCAGCGCGGCCTTCGGGGCCACGCTGCGGCAGCTCCTGGGGTGACGGTGGGCGCCGGGGGCATCTCTTGCTCGGTTCCCAGGAGGGAGGAGGAAGGAGGAGGAGGAGGAGGGAGGAGGGAGGAGGGAGGAGGGAGGAGAGGAGGAGGGAGGAGGAGGAGAGGAGAGGAGGGAGGAGGGAGGAGGAGGAGGAGGCGGAGGAGGAGGAGGAGGAGGAGCCGGGCGTGGCGCGAGGCTGCGCGGGCTCAAGACGAGTGCGCAGCAGCCTCTTCTGCACGCCCGAGTGCTTCCTGGAGAGCCCTGGCGGTTTCTCGAGTTTCACTCTGCCCATGGCCCAGGCTCAGTAGGCTCCTCCCTCAAGGCGCCGTCAGGAGTGTTTCAAGGCGCGTGGGGGGTCACGCCTGTAAGCAGAGGCGTGCCCGTGGCTGCGTACGTGGTCATCTGCTGGGGGGCATTGCGAGCCGTGGTGTTGGAAGCGGGGATAGGGCTTTTGCTCGTGGAGAAACAATTGTTGTTGATCCCCTCTCTCCGGTGATTCTTAATTTGCAATCATGCTCATCCCGGGGCTCGCACCTGTTTTTTTTACCAGGGGAAGCTTGGTGTGCCACCAAACTGCGTTATTGGGCCCCGAACTACAACAACACCGGCTCCCGCTCTACATTTCCTCACCATTTACTCCCATACTTCCCCACCGTTTACTCACACATCGCGCTCTCCCGCGGGACTTTCTCACAATGTATGCAGGAGTCGCGCTCGCAATTTATTCCGACGCCGCGCCCTCGATACTCAGGAATCATGCTCTCGCTTTCGCCTTTCTCGTGATTTATATGGGAATCGCGCTGTCGCTCGAGGTTTCCTCGCGATTCATGCAGGGCTCACGCTTCAGCAACCCGCCTGCTCGACCTGGCCACCTGGGCCCGCCTTCCCAACCCGCCCGCTAGAGTCTGCCCGCCCGATCTGTCCGTCTGGTTCTGCCGCGTGTTTTCTGATCCCAGCCCCCCTCCTGCTTATCTCTCTCGTGCTCCATCCTTCTCCCTCCCCCTTCCATCCGTCTCATCTTTCCCTGTTTTAGGGGCTGCGCTAAATTTGAGTGGCAGGTGAGGAGGGGGTACGATCGAAGACGAAGAAGGCGGGTATCGAGTGTTTGGGACATACGTGTTGAATGGCACGCGAGAAGGTAAGAGCGAACAGTTTTAAGATGATGGTTGCTGTTGCAGTTGTTGGTATCTCACTTTTGAAGAATCCATTCTTTTTGATACCCCCTCCAGCGCACATCGCATTTTTTCCAATTGAAGTGCCCCTCCTGGGGCTCGCAGCCTGTTTTTTCCCCAACCATCCTGTGGTGTTGGGTCCTCGTTTTGAAGAGAGCGCCCCGCGTTCCTGACTCCTTCCTCCTCCCCCTCCTCCCTCATTCCCTCACCCCCATCACTTTGGCACACCTCTCACACGTTTCGTGGCTCCATAGGGAGCTCCACCGACGGTGCCAATGGCGCAGTTCGTATGCGGTTCCCCCACCCAGTGCAGCGCTTCGTGGCCCCATAGGGAGCTCCACCCAAGGTTCCCGCTGTTCGCGTGCGGTTCCCCCACCCAGTACAGCGTTTCGTGGCCCCAGAGGGAGCTCCACCGAAGGTCTCGTTCGATGTGGAACGATCTGACCTTTCGGAAACGGCCGATCTTTCAAGGTTGAAGGATCCCCGCAGTGTGAGAAGCCAACGCCGAAGTCGGCACGTCACGAACCTTCGTGACCTGGATCGTGACCTTCGTGTTTTTGGCTCTCCACCTTGGTGCCTTGGAGTGCTCCTCGTCTGGGGGTCTCTGCGCACGGGGCCTTGGGCCTTCGGCGGAGGGGGAGGGGCTCGTGTTTTTGCAGTGGAGGCCCATGCCAAGAAGCACCCTGCTTGCCCCCAGGGTGCCCTGGGTTTCTTGGGTTTCGAGGGCTTTGCGATGGAAGGCGTGACGTTCCCATGCCAAAAGTCCGTGGACGTCCTGGGGTCTCAGGCTTGGGTTTCCTCTGTGGAAGGTTTGTTATTGTGGACTGGCCTCCGCTGTATAACCCACCTTCTCGTGGCCATCGGTTGCGCCGATTAGCCCCACGCTGGTGCGGACTGCCTCTGCCTCGCCGCCGACGAGCACTCTTTTGGCTCTCCGCCTTGGTGCCTTGGAGTGCTCCTCGTTTGGGGGTTTCTGCGCACGGGGCCCTGGGCTTTCGGCGGAGGGGCTCGTGCTCTTGATAGCCTGCGTTCTCGTGGCCGTGTTTCGGCTGCGGGGGGCGCAGGAGGCGAAGGCAGGCCTGCGAACTCCTGTTCCCCGCACGACCGGGGGGCTCGTGTGTCTGCCAACCGACCGCCGCTGCCTCGCCGGGCCACCGCGGCGGATCGGCTCCGATCTGTCCGCAGACTCACGTGCCTCCTGCGCGTTCCAGAACAGCTCTCGCCTTCAGACATCGAGAGGCTCCAGCAGAAGCAGGGGGAAGCGAAGCAGCGGCGGCCTCGCCCCCGAGAGGTCGGCGGACGGCGGCGGAAGCAAGTGTGAGGCGTCAAGCGAGAGCGAGCCCGATCGACACATTCATCGCGTTCCATCATGAGGCAGTCATCGCCGTGATCGTGTAACGGCTAGGCTGCAGAGGACGGGTCTTGAGCAGTGTCCGCTTGATGCTAGCCATAGACGTTGTGGCATGAATCTTGAGAACGCGACGGTGACATTGCATGCCGAGATGCTTGCACCTTCGGGAAGGCATCCTCTGAGCCGGCAGGGTGACGCGACAGGGGCTTCCCTGCATAAAGCAGCGTGCAGTCGCCAGCCTCGTCGACCCCTGCTTCGGGGGCGGAAGCGAGAGAACCTCGTGACATGCTCCTCTTGGGCACGCTTTCCAGAACGTCCCAGCGGCGGCGAACCCAGCGCGGGCGTTCCAGCGTGAAGTCCGCCAGTGGCCCAGATATCGGCCGATATCGGGCGGTCCGCGCTGTCGCACATCCGCGGTCGTTCAAGATTGATCGAGCAACGCGGTGTTCGAGACCAGCACACGAGTCGTCACGACGCGAACCTGCCATATGCCTAGCCCATCGGCGAGACTCTCAAGCATTGGGCAAGTTATGCTGTGCGGGGTGAGCCCTTCCACAAGCGTCTGTCTGTCTGCCCGGGCGCAGGGCGACATCAGTGCGGGGGGTGAGTGTCGGAGGGGAGCGAACGTACTGATCTGTACACCCCCTCCGAGCCTATTTGTGGACTACCCCTGCTCGATCCACTCGGACTCATCAGGATGTGACACTTCACCCTAATCAGCCTCCTCCTCCACCTCCTCCTTGCCGCTGCTCTCTGCCTCCTCTTCACTGCGCTCGAATATTGAGTCGTCGTTGCCGCCGACTCCCCGCCGTATGCTCGACCCCGTCTGGCGCCAGCTCGCCCTCGGACTCGGCTTTGGCCTCCCTCGCATGCCATCCCCTGGGGCCGTGCCGAGGCGGAGAAGAAGAGCGGGGATGACAAGACGCACGGGAAGGCCGGACCAGGGGGGCGGGATGCGGTGGTCATGGGAGGGGGGGGAAGCCAGAGAAGTGATGTGGAGCTTGGAGGGGCACGATGTTGAGGATGGAGGAGGAGTTGAAGGAGGAGTTGTACAAGAAGAAACGCAGGCATGGACGCTGGCATGGCGCGTCGGTGCTCTCACTGCTCCCTTATCGCATCTAACCAAGCTCTCAGCGCAGAAGTCTTGGCGCTTGGCTGCACTGACTCGTCCCGTGTTGGCGCAGATTCTAGTCGGAGGTCTGCAACGACTACGACTGCAAGTCCGACAAGCGCGAAGTCCACCAGCGAGAATTCCAGCATCACGACCCAGCCTGCAACCACTGGGACTGCAATCGATACTAGTGCGGGCAACGAGAGTGCTAGCATCTCGACCTGGCCTGCAACTACTGGGACTGCATCTGCTACCAGCATGACCAGCGAGAGCTTCGCCAGCGAGAGCTTACGTAAGCATCACGGCCCAGTATGCAACCACTGGGACTGCGAGAGCTTCGTCAGCGAGAGCTTACGTAAGCATCACGACCCAGCATGCAACCACTGGCACTGCAGTCGCTACGAGTGCGACCAGCGTGCGCATAAGCGCCGTGCCGTGGTCGGCAACCACTTGGATTTCATCGCCACGAATCTGACCAGCGAGAGCTTCACCTCTGAGAGCCTCAGCAGCGCGACCCAGCCTGCCATCACTTGGGCTGAAGTCACACACTTTTTTCGTCGGCGGCTAGGCAGAGAAGCTACTCCAGCGGGTGGCGACTCGGGGCGACCGAACGGCGGATCGGCCAGCGTGCAAGAGGGGAGAGAGGACTAGGGCGCCCGCGCGGAGGACCGGAGGAGGAGGGGAGCCACTCAGACGCGGAAGACTTCCTCGTCGAGTGGGCTGGTGCGGCCAGCCGTGGCAGCGGGGGCCGAATGCTGCAGTCACACACGTTTCGCCAGCGGAAGTTTCACCATCGATGGCTCCAGAATTACGACCATGGCTGCAGTCACTGGGACTACAGTGCCTATACGAGGGCGTCCAACGCGAGCTCCCCTGCTGTGCGCTCCACCAGCGCGAGGTCCTGCATGGCATCTGCACGAGAGCCTCTATGTGGCCGGGTTCTCTGTGTGTATGTGTGTATGTATGTATGTATGTATGTATGTATGTATGTATGTATGTATGTATGTATGTATGTATGTATGTATGTATGTATGTATGTATGTATGTATGTATGTATGGATGTATGTACGTACGTACGTACGTACGTACGTACGTACGTATGTATGTATGTATGTAT